AGCTGAGCATTCAAAGTTAGAGTGAGACTTTACAACCAAGGAAAAAAGGAAGAATGGCAGGCATGAGGTCCAATTAAGATTTAATGTAAAATGAATATGAATATTGAGTAGTAACTCACAGATAAGTCAAAATCTAAATCCTTTGATTGAGTGTTCTACCCAGTATAATATTTCTCATTTAAAACTAGAGATGAAAATACCTCTTTTTCTGCTTAGCTGTGAAGCCCATGGTCAGATATCTCAGGTTCAAGCACCAAAAGAGCTTCAGGCAGTCAGAATTTATGAAATTAGAACCAGGAAGATCAGACAAGATATATGGCAGTTAGTCATTGAATATGAACACAGATATCTTAACCAGTAAGTAACGCTTTGAAGATTTTACCCCTCATATGAGATGTTTTTTTTGTTTAAAGACAAGTACTGGAAAAGTATTCAGCGTGATTGCTTCATTTGAAAATGACGTGGAAATAACACTGTACAAACACGGAGGATTATTAAACTTTGTGGCACGGAAATTTTCCTAGTATCTGCTGGCGGTGGATCTTCAGAAACTAACTGCAAAGCCTTCTCTGCTGGACCAGTAATCCTGGCATGGAGCTGCAGTGGTCCCAGTGCGCTCACCTCTGTCATCCATGGGTGTAAATGATTATGAATCACAGTAGTGACTCCAATGAAATCGTCTTGATCTTAAATCATACACGAATGGTGCTATTAACTTGCTAAAATCAACGTGTGACATGTGTTGTGGAAGAAACCTGTAAGTATGGGTGGGTGGGGATATTTTATCAGACCATTTTGTAAATAAAGGCAGAATTTGAACTTGTGTTGAAGATTCTTACATGAGTAACCTTGTTTGTTTAGTTTTGCACCTATAAAACTGTACTACTGTTTGTTGGTTTAAGAGTAGCAGATTGCAATATAAGAGGCCAGATTAGACTTAAAATTGTGGAAGTTAGAATCTGATTTATAAATGGATTTTTATAACAATTCCTTTTCAAAATTGAGCTGGACACAGTTGGCATTTTGTCTGTCATAAAAACCAGGTTTATCCTTAGTCTCATTCTAACTACAGGGAGAGAACCTGCCCCAGATCACAATCATTCTCTCCAGTGCAGCCGAAGTTCCCTCCACATCTGCATTTGCACCAGTGCAGGAATACAAGCAGTTCTATGACACATGCACACATGCATTAGCGGTGAAGGGATGGATGCCTATGATGCAGCCCTTAGGTTTTTGGTAGTTTGCCACTGTACCCTGTGGCAAATCTCAGATAGCATTCTATTAATTGGACTAGCTTATTTTGCTCATCTAATGTGATATTAGAACTTTTTGTAACCTAATTTAGGTATCACCAACTGACATTCCACCCTCATCTCGTGGAGCTAAAGAGAACTTGAATCATTAGACTCTAATCATATTTCTTCTAGAGTCTAAACTTTTAAATTATCTACCCTGAATTATATGGATCCTTACACCTAAGCATTTTTTAAAATGTTGCTATTTTATTTCCTGTCGTTTCAAAGCATTTTACCAAGGGTGCATGATTCTATTAATTTTTTTTATGGTTTATTTGGTTTTAACCAAAACTGACCAATAAGTTAAATTATTGCTGTCAGATGTTCTCAATATGCATGTTTTTCTAACATACTGAATCAAACATTTCTGTCAAGACATTTGACAACATCTTACAAAACAGGTTGGGTAATTAATTTCAGAACGTACTGTACCTTTTTTTAGTTGAATTAAACTTAGGAACAAAAAGTTAAGGTAAAGTTTTTATTTTTGTTTCACATGGAGATCTTCATATATGATCTAGTTTTAAGGTGTTGCAATTCAGCTCACATTGCACAGAGTGAAAAATTGTTTATTTTAAGCTAAAATGCTGATACTACCAAACCAATGGGTAAAAGACCTGAGAACTTTGCACATAACCAATCATAGTCTTTTTAAAACTTTGTGTAAATATTTATTTAGACAATGAGTTGGACTAGAATTTGACAAGAATGTCCTGTCTTTATTTAAATTTTTTATAAATATTTGGTCCTTTCAAATCATGTTGTATCTTGATACATGCTGTATATCTGTCAGTGCGTGTGTTTAATTTACATGAGTTTGTGATGGAAAATATACAGGTTAAATGTTAAAATACCTGTTAAATGCTTTGAAGAAATGATAATTCCAGATTGTGTGGAGAAAAAAAACCTGTGTTACTTTGAAAGTGTACTCTTTATCTGTAGTCTGTGGACATCACACACAGCTGATCAAAAGGTGGTGATAAAGCTATCTAGTGATGGCTTAAATGTGGACATTTACAAGCAAACCTGTATTCCAGGAACAAAATAAAGGTTCTTTTAATCTCTTGCTCATATACAATGAACTAGAAGCTTGGTGAGCATGGTTTTAAATTGAGAGTTGTAGACCTATGTTCCTGGGTGTACATTGTGTAATTCTGCCTCTCAACAAATGCTGCAGAACTTGCTTTTGTTTAACCTCCTTTGTTGACTTTATCTGGGTAATTTTGTGTTACAAAAATAAAAATGTGATAGGCACACTGCTAGAAAGCAAATCAGTGTTGTGAACTTAAAAGTACAATTTCAGAGGTCATTACAAACAGCAACATTTATCTTCTAAAAAACCTGCTACATAACATTGCCATTTTCCTACCTTTGGGTCTTGCTAATCCTATTAAATGTCATACAGCCACTGAATTGCCACTACTATTTATACCTTAAAAGTCCCAGGGTGACAGCTGTCATTTTTTTTGTCTCTTCATTGAGAACACTCAAGTACGGAGTAGCAGAATTCCTTTAGCCACATTGCCTGGATTTTCCCTGGTGGGTTGCACTAAAAGCTGTAAAGCTACTAGCTGAATCCCAAGTCGTCATTGTTTGCATATTCAGTGACAATGATGTATGTATCTGCTTGTCAGTAACAAGTGACAGGGTGAGAAATTTGACATTTTTCTGAAGTTAAATTAAGAGACATCTTTCTTTTGCTTTTAGGTTTAGGATAAGATACTAAGATACCTGGGTGCTGACCCAGTCCAGTTTGACTTGGAGTATACAAGACTGTGGGAAGGGGATTGACTTTGGCTTTTTCAGTGTTTTGGCTTTTATTTTTAGTTTTTGTTTTTCCCTAACAGGTGACAGTGCTGATGTTTTCTATCAAATTTTACACATATGGGGCTATGAAACTATGTATCTCAATTAACTGCAAATTATTGCCTATTATTTAAAGCCAGCAAAACAGTGTAACAGTTTTAAGTTCAATAAAGTTAAGTATTGTATAGAAATATATTGGAGGCAAAGTCCAGTTGATGACAATGGTGTATATGTTACTGCTGATGTAAATTATTTTTAATAAAGAAAATTGTATTATCACATTTGGCTCTTGTTATTGGGGGGGGTCTTTTGTTTGTTTTGAGATAGGGTCTCATGTAATCCAGGCTGGCCTTGAACTCAGAGTGATCCTCCTGCCTCAGTCTCCTAAGTGCTGGGATTACAGACGTGTGCCACCAGGCTCGGCTCTTGTTACATTTTTAGCAATTAGAATAAAACCTTATTGTTGGGAGCAATGCTACATAACTCTAGAGAAAAATCATTTGAGTAGGCCTAGTTCTTCCACCTACAGGCCAGCTATGACATTCTGAGACAATTCCATTTTGGCCTCCGGTCACAACTGAGACCTCAGTGATCCCCTGATGCTGTGATGCTCCAGGGCAAGATCACACCTGCGGGAGACGCTAGGGAGGAACCAAATCTTCATCTGCATGGTTCCTCATTGTTCTTGAATTTCCACTGCCCCGAAGTCTTTTGTTACACCTTGTTTATCCCATTGTGAAGTACTGAACTCTGCATTTCACTTGTTAACATTTGTTTCCCCATGTACTGAATAAAAGGTGCTGCAAGCTAGGGGGTTTTTGTCTTTGCTGCCCAGAGCAGCACTGATGAGACCCAAAGCTCAGCTTCTCAGTCTCATTTTTCTACCTTTCCTGTAATTCGCCGTGTGCTGCCGTGGCTCGCAGGAGACTAGGACTTACTGCAGAGGTACTAGTAATGTCCCCTTCCCCTGTTTCCTACACCTTGTGACTTAAAATGACACAAGATGACATCCAGAAATTTCTCATCAAATAAATTATCTAAATGTTCAGATGTCACATAGTTCCCAGTGTTACTGCCATATAAATCCATGGTTCTCATCTTTTATGACTACCTGCTCCTTTTCCACTCTAGGGTTAATTAGAAGGGAAATCAGTGTGGACGTTTTTAATAGGAGATAGGATAGCCTAGCAACAAGAAATGAAGTTCACTCATGGGTTGTTCCAACAGCTACTTAAGATTTGTGGAATCAGTTTAGTGTTGAAAAGATTAAAAGCAAGATCCTTTGTACAAATAACATCTTAATTGGTAAGGAGAGCCTTTGAACATTAAAGAGAGACCAACTACAAGCGCCTCGCCGAGCCTCCTGGCCAAGGTCTGGTGAAGGCTCTGTATTTTCCAGGCTTCCGTCAGTGCGGAGTGCGCAGGCCTCTATAGAGAAGACTGGTTCCAACAATGCAGCACCTGGGAGAGGCGATGGCTAGGCCGATTCACGACCTCCCATCGCAGCCTCTGCCGATCCTGGGGCCGGGAGAAGCTCACGTCTACCTATGACCACCTTTTCAAAAAGGACCTCTTAACATACGTGCTTCCAGCAAGTGGGGGAGGACAGTAAGGAAAGAAAACGCGCCCTTTGGACCCGATCACTTGGACGGACTCCTGATGAATGGTCCAAGCTACTTCCCCAACCACGTGGGCGGGGCGGAACTGAGAGGTACCTAACTCCTGCCGAATGGCTACTCATTGATAGGCAGGGCCTTGGTCAGCCAATCAGAAACAAGAGCTCCAGTTATGTAAGGTTGGTGGATTTTAGACTGGGGAGCTGGACGACAGAAGGCGGGGCCGGGATTGCAGAAAGCCAATCAATCACAATCCCGATCTCTAATTTCCTGTTTGGAGACCCTGGAGCAGGCAAAGTCTTGTGTGCCTCGCCAAGCCACGCCTTCCAGTACTCTGCGCTGACTGGGCGGCGAGAAATGAGGGGACCCAATCAGAAATTGGACACGCGGGGCTCGCTGGAACGTCAGACAGCTCTAGCAGCTCGCAGTCCACTTCCCTGGTGCTTGGGAGCGGGGACGCTGGCCAGACGTGGGATCGTACGGTGAGCAGAGCAGGGAGCTGAGGCCCGAGTGGCGATCTGGGACGGGGAGCCTGGCCGCGATCCTGTGGTCCTCACCAGGGTGGCCGCGATCGGGATGCGCGGTCACCTCCCCTGTCCTAACCCAGGCTGAGATTCCAGGAGAACCCAGGGCGCCACGCCCAAGCCCCGCGTGGAGAGTGGCAGAGGGAAGTGCCCGGTGGGAACCATTTCTGAGCCTCCCTTGACTTCATCAGTATCATAACTATGAACCTGACCTGTGTGCCCTCCTCCTTCCTACCCCCTTATTTTCCTGCGCTTTGGGTCAGCAACCCCTTGGAATCCTGCTGGCCCACCGCTTTTTATTCTTCATTCAACACCAAAACCCAGGTGCATTATTGTCTGGAAACGACTGAGTCCGGGTTCCCTGCTTTATTTACTGTAGAGTAAAAGCGAATCTGGCTCGGTGTTTAATATTCTGGCTGGGTGGTTCGTGGGCTTAGTGACCCTCTGGAGGGAAAAAGAAGAATCAAGACTAACTCCTATTTCTTGTCTGGAGTAAACGTGTGCAAAGTCCAAAGTTTTAAGGACCAGCCTCCTGTTTCTGGGACGAAGATTGTGAGATTCTGGTACAGACTTTGAGGTTTCCTGAAAGTTTTTTCTCCACGTGCTAAGTAAAGTAAAGATCAACCGTCCCATCAGACTTGCATCCCCTCCTCCCTCACCACATGCAAGACAGCTTTGGTGAAGGAAACATCTGTGGCAAACATTTCTTTCTGTATGTTTGTTTACTTTCAGGAGCGGTCAGAATCTGTGCCATTCATTCCAAGATTTGGAGTCCTTTGTACACGAAGAAAAAAGGCAAACGTAAGGTCAAAGAGAAAGAACTTCAGCTGTGTAGAATTTTAGAGTTAAAGGACGTTTGGGGATGATGCAGTCCAGCTCTTGCCAGAGGAAATGGGGCAAGTCTGGAGTTTCAAAGGTCAGGTGGCAGAGCTGGGGCTAAATTATGACTTCTTAGTGCACCAGCCCTGCCAGCAACGGTTCACACTGCTTTAGAACTCAGAGTTCTTCAGAGAGATCCCTGAAGCTCCCTTCACAGATATATCTAGGAGCATTTTCTGGACAGCAGAGAGTTGATCTTCCCCAACTGCTTGTAAGGTTCCTTTCAGCATTAAGAACTTATAATTCATATCAAGTCCAGAGTTGCTCTGACATCCTTAACACTTTGGAAATTGAAAAATTACTCCAGGATTTCACTTTGTAGTTAACACTGCAGCTCCTATTACACTCCGAATCCAGCCTAAAAGTCTTAAGCCCAGAGAAAGAGTGCAGCAGGATATGTTGGTTCACAAAAGTTTCAGGTGCAAAAGGTATTTTGAAATCCCATGTAGGCTTTGTTATAATGTCTTTAGTGAACAAAATCTGAACAGCTTAATTTCTTTCTGACAGGAAATCTTGTGGTTGGAAAGTAAATAAAAGAAGTGATCGGCAGGTGTGCAGTGGCTGGGGCAGGGACACCTGCTGGTGTCTTAAGGGCTGTGTGTAGCTAGTGGTAGGAGAGAGGCTTTGGGTGGGTGGATGAAGAAAGGCCTTGAAGAGCAGTGACATGGGAGGCTTTTACCCTTATTGTCACTCAAGTCGTCAGGCTGTGTAGTCTTGAGGCTGAGGCAGGGAGAAGAGCCCAGACACCTCCCAGAGTTTCCTCCCCTTCCCTCAGCGGAGTAGGGTGGCCTTCACCATGACAGGGCTGGGGTGCCTGGACATGAGCAGCCTGGCTGTGATGTGTGAGCTCTGAGACATTCTGAGCATTCTGAGACCTCCCCTCCTTGTTCTGGCTTGTCTCTCACTAGGGCTTTTTTTTTTTTAAGGTAAAACATACATTCAATGAGATGGACATATCTTACATTCATTTCAGTTTTAAGCTAAGTTTTGGCAAATGTATGCACCCGTGCAATGAAAGCCTCATCAAGATACAGGGCTAGGGGTGTGACAGGGGTAGAGCTCTTGCCTCACAGGCGTGGTTCGACCTCCAGGACTGCCAAAGATCATAAGATATAGAACTCTTTCCTCTCAAAAAGTTCCCTCCACTTGGGGGGCTGAGGCAAGAGGATTACAAGCTGGAAAAAAAAAAGTTCCCTCTTGCTGCCTTCCTGTCAGAAGCAACAGCTTGCTTGCTTTTTTTCCTTTCTGTGGCAGTGAGGGTTGAACCTAGAGTATGCTGAGCTACATTCCTCAGTCCTTCGATTTTTTGTTTGTTTTAGCTTTTTGTTTTTATTTTTGGGTTTTGGTTTGGTTTGGCTTGGGTTTTTGAAACAGAGTCTCATTGTGTAGTTCAGGCTGGCCTGGGCTTGAACTCACTATGTATCCCAAACTGGCCTCGAACTCGCAGTGATCCTCCTGCCTCAGCCTCCTGAGTGCTGGGATTGCAGGTATGTACCATCAAGCCCAGCCCATTTACTTTTTATTTTGATACAGGGTCTTGCTAAATTGCTAGGCTGCCCAAGCTGGCCTAGAATTTCTGATCCTTCTACCTGAGCCTGCCAAGTGCTGGGATTACAGGTGTGCACCACTGCACCCCACTAAGATTTTTTAGGGGGTTGGCACTAGGGATTGGACCCAGGACCGTCACACTGAGGTACATCCTCAACCCATTTTTAGTTCTTATTATGAGACAGGGTCTCACTAAGTTTCTAAGTTGCTCAGGCTGGGCTCCAACTTGCAATCTTCCTGCCTCAGCCCCCAGAATGCTGGGATTCCAGGCGTGCACCACCATGCCTGGCCAAGATTTGTTTGATGTAACACTTCATCCAGCTAGGTGCAGGGCATATACCTGTTATCCCAGCACTTGGGAGGCTGAGGCTGGATTGTGAGTTCAAGGCCAGCCTGAGCCACATAGCAAGACCCTGTCTCAAAAAACAAGCAAAAAAACCCTGCATCCCCTGAACAACAATCAAAATCATACCCTAAAAGACAACAGACCCCCAGATGTTTATCAATCATTTACAACTTAGTATGAAGGAAGAATTGAAAGAAAACAGTTTTTGGGGAAAGAAGAAGGTAAAATTGTAAAAACCTTAGAGATTTGGTTCCTGAAGGATGCTCAGCCCTACATTGCTCAGGAAATGGGCCAGGTGTGTGGAGCCCAGAGTGTAGCTCCCAAGGGGGAGAAAGCAGTCTTCCCTCCCCACCTCTTCCAACAGACGCAAAAGCCCAGTTGAAACCCATCTTCTAAGACATTTTCCTTCGGCTGACATCATTCTGCCCTCTTCACCATCTACCATAGTTTTGGCAGATATTAAATTTGTAGGTTGCAAACTCAGATATAACTTTAGTTTTTCAAACTGGCAGTAGATTTTATTTTAAGCTCCCATTCCTCTTTGCAGTAGAAAATATATTCTTTATAGTTTAAGGTAAGTCCAGTCACTTCAGTGTGAATCCAGTCATTCCAGGTTTGTACTTAGTTAATTGAAGATTTTCTTTGGCATTCCATCAGTTTATGACCTACTGCTTTGTAATGTGTTCTGAGTTCTTCCTTTTATTTTTTATTGATTGATTTTTAAAAATTGAAGCCCTTTTTATTTTTTATTTTGAGACAGGGTTTTGCTAAGTTGCTAAATTGCCCAGTCGTGACTCACCCTTGGCCATCTTCCTGCCTCGGCCTCCCAGAATATTGGGATGACAGGTGTGCACCGCCACACCCAGCTTCTTTAAATGTTTTTTGTTGTTTAGGATGTCTGTGGGTGTGAGTGAACTTTTCAACTGTTGTAGAACATAGAGCCTTACACAACACTCTGTACATCATCCACATCTTTATTTTTGAAGTAGCTGGATGTGATCCATATAATTTAACAAAATTCGCTAGAAAAGATTGCCACATTTAAAATTGTCTTTTTAACCCAAGACTGGTGGTAAGACAGTGAAAAGGACTTAACCATGGCTTAGGAGACCCAGCTGCAGAGCTGGGTCTTGCTGTAACTTACAAGGGGACTTTGGTCACTTAATCTGAACTTCTCTGTAAATGTGGAGGGGAGGGCAGGATTTGATTCGGTGACCCCACGGTGCTTTCCTGGTCTGTGCTTTCTCCCAGGACTGGACCTTCAGTTTGGGAGATAGGTTTTAAGATGATTCATGGTACAAGGATTTTTAGTCCCCTGCTAAAATAGCTACTTTTTTTTTTTTTTCGGTAGATAGTGTTGGGGTGGAACCCAGGCTTTCCTGCATCCTGGAGAAGCGCTCAGCCCCAAGATCTCTACTCCTGGCTCTAAAACTTTTTTTAGAAGTTGGGGATAAGTTTGAGACTATGTCGTCCAGGCTGGCCTTGAACTCACTTAAGTCTTGGCACTCCTCCTGCCTCAGCCTTCCAAGTGCTGGGATTACAGGCATGCACCACCATAACCAGCATGGTCCTAAAACTTCTTAATCTCTTTCACTGATATGATTTTTTTAGCTTTATAAGTAAAAATAATCAAAAGAAATATAGAACCAATGTAGAGCAACATTCTTGGGATGTCTGTAGAAAACACTGAAGTAATCTCCTCCCTCTGTGTCCCCTTTCTGGGTGTTTGTTACTCAGACACAATGGAGAATGGAGCCAATCAGCAAACACAGGCCCCGGCCAAACCTGCTTTCACTGATGCCCAAGCCTCCGCATTGGTAGAATCAATATTTGGGTTAAAAGTGTCAAAGATCCAGCCACTTCCGAGCTATGATGACCAAAACTTTCATGTTCACATCTCAAGAACCAAAGACACTACAGATGGCCCTGCTGAATATGTCCTCAAAATAAGCAACACTGAGACCAGCAAAAACCCAAACCTGATTGAAGCACAAAATCTCGTCATCATGTTTCTGAAGGCAGCTGGGTTTCCAACAGCATCCGTGTGTCACACTAAAGGGGACAACATGACCTCTCTGGTATCCGTAGGTGAGAGACGCCAATTCTCACACATTCCTGCACCTGGGCTCCAGGTGGAAACACAGTGTTGAAAATGAACTCACAATTCCAAGTAGAGATGTATTATTTTCCCAGTGTTTGGGAAAAGCCACCAACTACCAATGTGAAGATTAGGTCCCTGGTTTGGAAGTAACTACAGCTGGCATCACATGTAACTTTTCTGCTTAGAAAGGCTCTGATGAGAAGAACATTTTTGTTCTCATTTAATCAGAAATACAATCCCCCCCTTTTTTTCGGTGCTGGGTATTGAACCCAAGGTTTCACATGCAGTGCACAACCACTGGGCCAAAGCCCAACCCCAGTTAAACATTTCCATTCATCATAACAGCTGTAGATTCTGGTCCTGAAGTATAGGAGAAAGAACGAATACAACACCAGACACGAGGAATTGTAGATCTAGTTCTGTCATTACCTTGGGCACCCACTTAATTCCCAAGGCTCAGTCCTCATCTGTGGGGTTTGGTCCCCTATAAGCTCTCAATGAATAATGCTAAGATGTGCCTAATTCAGCAAGCAGCAGCATGAAATGCATTTCTGGGAATTTTTGAAGTTTGTCGTGATTGTCTTTTTCTTCATTGTCCATCCATTCTTTTTTTGTTTTTTTGAAACAGGGTCTCAGTATGTATTTCAGGCTGGTCTTGAACTCACTATGTAGGCCAAGCTGGCCTTGAACTTGTGGCGATCCTCCTGCCTCAGCCTCCCAAGTGCTGGGATTATAGGCATGTGCCACCATGCCCAGCCTTTGTCCATCCATTCTTAATTTGCATGACTCCAAATAACTGAGGGCCAGCGTAGTCCCTGAGGAACAGGTGTTCTATGTTACAAACCCAGGTTGTTCCACAGTTTGCCCCTGGAGAACCCTGTGATTCTGGAACAGTCATTTATTTATTTAGGTTTCTTGAGACAGGGTCTTGCTATGTAGCTCAAGCTGACTCACTCACTCTGTAGCCCAGGCTGGCCTCAGACTCAAAATTCTCCTGCTTCCGCTCCTGAGTGCTGAGATGAAAGGTGGGCAGTATCATGCCCAGCTAGAACAGTCATTTCTTTTTTTGGGGTATCAGGGATCGAACTCTGACCTTGCACTTTTGAGGCAGGTGGCAGAACCACTGAGCTAAATCCCTGGCCCCTAGAACAGTCATTTCTTTATAAGCAAAGACTTATGAAAGACTATGGGTTCTTTTTTCTACTGTAGTAGAAATTTTTGTACCACATTTTTCTACTGTAGTAAAATTTTTAGTACTACTAAATGCTACTAATGCTACTGTAGTGGCATTTTTCTACTGTAGTAGAAATCTCCCTATACAGCCTATGTTCGTCCACTATAAATGGCAATTCCAACGTTCTTGAGATTTGTTGCCTGCTTGTTGGTCAGCTCAGCCCTGCCTCATAGAATGCTACAGAGTAGTTTTTGATTAGCACATTTTTCTCCTATTCTGTATTTTGGTTGGTTGGTTTTGGGTTTTTTGGGGGTGTTTTTTGTACCGGGGATCGAACTCGGGACCTTGTACTTGCGAGGCAGGCAGCAGAACCACTGAGCTAAATCCCTGGCCCTCCTATTCAGTATTTAAAAAAAATAATTACCACAAAAGCAGAACAGTTTGTAGGTTGTTTTGTTTTGTTTCTTCTTCTTTTTTTCTTTTTAGAGAGTAGTTGAGAATATTGTATATCATTGCATCCATCTAGATAACAGCTCCAAAACCAGGAGCCACTTGGTGAGGCTTCTGACGTTCCTCCCTGGCAGACCTGTAGCCCAGACGCCCATCAGCCCCCAGCTCTTATACGAAATCGGGAGGCTGGCTGCCAAGTTGGATAAGACACTCGAGGTAAGAGTTGGGGTTTTATATTGTTTGTAAGGGATTTTTGTTCATCCTATTTTTAAAGTAAACTCAGGATTAGGTTCTCTTCTTACACATTGTGTTTCCTAACATAGGTGGAGAAGGAAATGGGGGTTCTAGGAGTATAGGTTTTGGGACAACAAGGCTCTTGTCCCAGTGTGCTGTTAAATAAGTTGGCAAGATTACCTATGTTTGGGGGCTGGGGATTTAGCTCAGCAGCACCTCGCCTGACTCGAAAGCCCAAGGTCCTGAGTTCGATCCTCAATACCAAAAAAAATAAAAAAGAGAAAAGATTACCTATGTTTTTAGAAATTCATGATCTTTTACTCATCACAGAAAAATAGTCTCTACTCACAAATTGGAACCTGAAGTTTTCGTCCAGCTGTGGCACAGTCTGCAGGAGCCCTGTGTGAGGCAGTAGCTCAGTTGCAAACAGATTAGCAGGGCTGAGAATGTAGCTCAGCGGTGGCCTTGGCAGGCACAGGGCCCTGGCTTCGATCTCCTGTGCAGAAAAAAAGAAGAAGGAGAAGAAGACTTGTGTTAATGATATTTTTGTCCCAGATAAACAATATATTTGCCCAGTACTTTTCAGACCTAACCCCATAACAGCTTCATTTATTCAATAAACATCCATTAGGTTCTGGTTGTCTGTGACTATTTTAAAAACCATCCCCAAACTTACTGATTCAAAACAGTAGTGATTTATTTCTTGTGGCTCTGAGGGTTGGCTGTGCTGCTCTTCTCCTCCGTGTGATTAGGAGCCCAAGTGTGGCTGGATCTCACTAGAGCCCACGGGCACGTCCGCTCTCCATACAGCCCCTCTGTCCATGGGGTCTCATCCTTTAGTCCTGAACACCCTTGCAAGATGGCTCCTGGCTTCCCAGGAACCAGGTTCCTAGAGGACATGACTCATAGACACATCCTTGGCAGGCCTCTGCTTGAATCATGCTGGGAAATTCCCCATTGGCCAGTGCAGGTGACAGGGCTAATCTAAGGTCAACTGGAGCAGCCACACAGGGTGCGAGCCAGCATGGTCCACAGAGGCTGGCACAGCCACAGCCCAGCACACATGGTCCTGGCATCACTGTTTCATGTCGGTGCCTCCTGTTGAGTGTGCCCCATAAGGAGCAGTAGCTTCTTGAAATAGTGTGTGTTTCCTTTATGCATCCGTTATCCTCAGCATCTGGCAGTGTCAAATACGCACAGAAGAGGGCTTTGTGAAGAAAGTCACATCTCAGGGGTTACTGAGTTAGGAGTGCAGTAGGCAGACAGAAAAGGAGGAAAGGCCTCACTGCTGCAGGGAAAAGCACACGGAAATCATGGCAGCGCCACTTCCGTGTTCCAGAGCCTCTGGATAACTCCCTGTGGCTGAAGTGTGGGGACTGTGATTGAGAGAAGCAGGGATCAAGTTGAAGATGTAAGGTGGAGTCAGATTATAAAATCCAGGTCACATGTGACAGGAGTTTGGACCTGTTTCAGAGAGAGTGTGAGGCGTGGAAGGTTCCTCAGGGGACAACACTTCCTGACTATATCACTCGGCCCAAGAGGGCAGATGGCTGTGCAGGAGTGAGACTGGACATAGGAATGAATATGCCCAGGAAGGTAACACAGCAATCTCAGGAAAGTGGATTGAGGGCTTGAGCCACGCAGAGTTTAGGAGACAGCACCAATCAGCTTTGGTGACTGATTCAGTATTAAGTTTAGGAGAGAGGAAGGGGTTGAGCAGGACATGGGTTCTGAGTAGGCCTGCTGGTCCCCAGGAGCCTCCAAGTCATGGGAGGAGGAACTGCGATGACAGGAAGGGGAGCTCAGAGAGAGGGTGCGGAAGAGGCTGAGCTCTGTGGAAGCTGAGCCTCACATCCCACAAGGAAGCAACTCTGCTCCTCCATCCCCTCACTGGCACCTTCTGCAGTCCACCCACCTGCCTCTACCCTGATCTGTCCAGTTTCTTTTCCGTCTGACTGGAGCTTTAGAGACAGGAGGAAGGTAGGGACCCTGCCAGGAGTTAGGGAAGAGATGAAGCAGGTTGTTAGCAAATTTTCACAGAGTGCTGGTTACACATTGACTTGAGACAATAACAACTTACTTCCCATGGTGCTGGGGGTTGGCCAGGCAGCTTTCTCTTCATAGTATAGCTGGGGAACTGTAAATGAGACTTTGGAGATTTCTCATTCTCTGTACCCAAAGAGACTTCATATTGATTGTCACCTATTAGGGGATGCCTGACTTCCTGATTGAGAGAACACTATAGGATGAAAGAATGATAGACAAAGAATAAAGAACAAACAATTGTTTATTACTGGGGGGCTGGGCTCTGATCTTAGCTCTTCCTAACTAAGACCACAAGCTCTGGGTTTGTCAGTATTTATTGATTACAAAACATAGCAGGGCATGTAAAGGCAGATGTAAGGAACAGCAGGACTAAAGCACTAATGTGCCAGGCTTGGAAAAGGGAGGAATGATGCATTCTTGCTAAGGACAGGTCATAGTTAATAAGCCACTTGTGCTATCTAGCAGGTCATAGTTAACAAGCCACCTGTGTTATCTTTAGCTAATGTTTGGTCTGGGAGAATGGCTGTACAAGAGTCATAAATCCCCAGCTGAAGTGTCATCTGGCTATTATAGATGTCACAATATCATCAGTCACTGAGATCTGAACTGTGACTACTATTGCCATAGGGAATTCTGTCTCCAAATGTTAGCCAGAGGGTCTTCTAGCAAGTCACTTAGGCCTTGGATTGACTCATAATTTTAATCACTAGCCAAATTATAAGTAAATTCAATAATATTTTAAATCCTGCCCAGCGCAGTTTCAAGCTGGTCTCCTGCAGTCTCCTGGGTGTAAGAAAATAAAATTTTTAAAAAAAGATTTGCTACGTTGCAGTCTTTTTTTGAAGTGTGTTTCTTATAGGAAGTATACATTTGAATCTTGCTTTTTTATAGTCTGACAGTCTTTGCCCCTTACTCGGGATGTTCAGACCTTTTATGTTTAATGTGATTATTGATATGGTTAGGTTTAACTCTTGTCTTGCTGGTTTCCATTTATCTTATCTTCTCTAACACTGAGCTACATCCCTATCCTTTTTTTTTTGGTACCAGGGATCAAACTCAGGTCCTTGCGCTTGCGCAGCAGGTGGCAAAAACCACTGAGCTAAATCCCCAGCCCTTATCCTTTTTTATTTTTCATTTTGAGGCAAAGTCCTATTAAGTTGTCCTAGCTGTCTTTAAACTCAACCTCCTGATTACAGGTGTGCACCAGCTAGCTTGAGGACCTTTTATCATTCCATGTCTTTCATGGGCTCAACTCATTATTTTATTATTTTAGTGACTTATTTAGGGTTTATAGAATATATATTATGAGTCTTCTGAGTTATATGATATTCATGTATAATATGAAATGTGATGAAAAACTATGGTGAATGTTTACATTTTTAAAAAATTTATTACAATCAAAGATATATTGCCATTAATTCCCCTCATTATCCTTCCCCTCACTTTGAACACACTGATCCCATCATTTGTTCTTGCCACTTTCTAAAGCAGTTCTGGAAGTCCTCTTTCCTGAGTGTCTTTATTTGCATTGTTATGGCTGCCTCAATGTCCTGAATTGTAATTTTGACTTTGATGGTGCCAGATCTGGTGAACAAGGTAGATGAGGACACAGTATTACATTTTTATGAGCCTGCTTTTCCCCTTTCCATTTGATGGCATGCAGCAACAGCATTCACCAAAAATTTTTATCACATCTCATAAAAACATAAAAGAGTACTTCCAGAATTGCCTCAGGAATTGGCAAGAATGATGGGATAAATGTATTTGAGATGAAGGGGATTAAAGGCAATGTATCTTTTAATGTAATAAATATTTTTATTTAAACATACATCGTATTTTTTTTATCTGCCCTTATATATGACCCTGACAGTAGCGTACTTCTGTGTCTTCCTTCCTGGCCTTTATGCTATTGTTGTCATACATTTTACTTATAAGCCCCATAATACATGGGATGTAGTGGCACATGCCTGTGATCTCAGCACTCAGGAGGCTGAGGCAGGAGGATTGTAGCACACGCTAGGCTAGCGTGGGCTACATAACAAGAAGACCTTGTGTGAATAAATAAATAACAGTCTCATAATATGCCATTTTTATTTTTATTTAGACTTTAAATTATCTCCAAAGAAAGTCATTTAATAAGGAGGAATGATATGTTCACCCATGTAGCTACTTCCCAGTGCCCTTCATCCTTTGACTTGGCTTTTTTCTAGTTCCATATGAATTTTAGGACTTCTTTATTTCTGTAGAGAATGCCACTGGGACTTTGACAGGGCTTGCACTGACTCCTTTATTGCTAATGTCTCATTCACATGCCTGCTGCCCCTGAAGTCTCGGCTTATCTTGCTGGACCCGAAATGGCAAATGTAGTTTCTGAGGGAGACAGAACTGCATCATTGCTGACAAGAGTTCTACAGTATGCTTAGCCACCTGCTCCCTTGCATTGCAAGTTACTGTTGTCTTGCAGGGAACGGGAAGTCTTTCAGGGAACACAGAAGAGCCTCTTCACTTGGTCCCGCAGTGCATTTCATCCTACTTTACCACCACGCCTCATCCCCTTGCCACCCTCTCTTCAGCCTTAGCAAGGCACAGGTGCTTAGTCTTCCTGGAAGCATGGGAGCTGCAGCATCTGTGGACTCACTGTATCACGCAAGTGCAGGTGTCAGCCCTGCAGGTGGCAGAGACTGGGACTGTTCTGCTAGGTTGCAGCTGGCAGACCTGGGCATCCAGAGTAGGCAGGAGCCATGGGGTTCCAGGGATCAGAATGGAGGCATTCACAAGTCAAGGTGCCAGGTACTTGCTGGAGGGAAGTAGTTGTCCCTTGGTCCACAGATGGGCTGGAAGTCAGTCTCAGGAAGTCACTGAGGATGAGAGAGAAGGAAACAAAGGGCGGGCTTATGAGTGTGGTGTGGTCAGAGCTTGGCCCTGGGGGAAGCAGGGTGCTTGGAGCAGAACTGGGGTGGGGAGAGCACGAGGAGGATGAGGAGGCAGCTGGTGTTGGTTTTCAGTAAGAGCATTGGTGACTCTGTCAGGAATTCAGGCTGGTGTGAAAGGAGCCCAAGGAAAGAAAGGCCAGAGAGGTCAGGTGGATCCATCACATTCATCGAGTACCTACACAAAACGTTAGGTCTTCATTTCCTGGCAGAGTTATTCTACAAGTGACAGATGTCTTGCTGTAACCACTAAGGAGGCTGAGACCCAAGCCATTCGCAGCCTGCATTTGGGTGGCCTGATTGTTCGAACCCAGATCTGTCTGACTGAGTCCTGAGTTCCTACCACTACTGCTTGTCTGAGTGGAGAAGCTCTCCTCGGGGCATGGGACAAGAATGTCACCATGCAGGAGTCCCCAAGGCCTCTCCACTGGAAACCCAACACCGTGTTCTATTTTACCTTTGTTTAAAAATAAGAGCAGCAAAGGGCCGGGGACTTAGCTCAGTGGTTTTGCCACCTGCTATGCAAGCACAAAGACCCGAGTTCAATCCTCGGTACCAAAAACTAAAATAAAATAAAATAAAAAAATAAGAGCAGCAGGGCAGGGTGGTACACACCTGTATTTCCAGCACTGGAGAAGCTGAGGCAGGAGGATCACTGCTAGTTCAAGGCCAGCCTGGGCTACATAGTGAGAGCCTGTCTCAAAAATAAAAATAACAGCAACATATATACATGGTAAAAATTTCAAAAAGTACTAAATTGTATAAAATAAAAATGTTCTTCCCCCATCATTTCTCTCTTCCTATTCACAATCCCACTCCCTGAAAGTCACTGCCCCACCACCAGCAGTGTTCGAGGTTCTAACTCTGCAGAGTATTTTTGTGATCCCCTGTAGCATCTAACACACCAGATGGTAAGGTGATTGAAAATTGTTCTATGAGGAACATGAGAAGGAACTCAAAGACTCTGAGGGGGTAGAAGTGCTGACTTTGAAGATTGGGAACCTGGGCATGGTGGCACATGCCTATAATCCCAGCATTCAGGAGGCTGAGGCAGAAGGATGGCTGCAAATTCAAGGCCAGTCTGGGCTACATAGTGAGTTGAAGACCAGCCTGAACCACGTAGCCAGACCCTGCTCAAAAAACCAAACCAAACTAAACAAAAAGACCTGGAGGACAGTCATGTGGGAGGAGTGCTGCTCCCAGTCCAGTTGGTCCAGAGTCAGCCATAGCAGTCAGAGCCAGTGGTATGGATGGTGTTAAAGAGGCAGGTTTTAGCTCAGCAAAAGGAAGGACACAGTTAGAGCCATTTGACTAAGGGGAAAAGCACCTCCCCTGGGCAGGATTCTTCTCATAAATGAGGCTGACAGAGTACCAGAGAAAGGGCTGGAATTTTAAATGGAGTAGTCAGGAAGTTCTCTCCCAGAAGGTGCTTTTGTAAGTAGAGACCTGCTGCGAGGGAAGGAGGCAGGCACCATTATGCAGCATGAGGGGCAGCATCCGGGGACAGAGGCAGCAAAAGCAAAGGCCCAGGGCTCCTTGACCAGCAGGGAGGCCAGTGAGAAGGGGAGAAGAGCTCAGGGTGGGGATGAGGGGCCAGAGTGAGATCACAGGGTGAAAACAGAGCTCGAGAGGGGCCTCCACTCTCTCCTGTGAGCTCTGAGAAATGGACACACAGCAGTGAGGTGGGGCTGTGTAGCCCAACATGAGGTCCCATGTGAAGGTGAAGGGCGTGCACAGGGGTGTGGATGTGGATGGCACAGGTCAGTGCCCTCCCTCCACAGGACCCTGGAACAGGTTGTCCTGCAGCACCGATCGGGTCCCAGGCTGGTTCCTCCGAGGCTGACCCTTGCTTTTGCTTTAGACCTTCCATCATCCAAAGTTAGGGAGCCTTCGTCGGGACAACTTCATCTGGAATCTGAAAAACATTCCCCTTCTGGAGAAATACCTGGACGCTTTGGGCCAGAACCGAAACCGTGAGATTGCTGAACAAGTCATTCAGCTGTTCAAGGAGGAAGTGTTGACCAAGCTAAGTCAGTTTCGAGAATGTGAGTAATCCTCCAGTCAAATACATATTTTTCTTGATATTTAAGTTGTCAAATGTTACACCATCAGAAACATATGGGGGGACAACTTAGCTTTTTCAGATCTTGAAACTGTCATACTTACTACAATTCCTTTGTAACAAATAATATTTTTACTTTTCTCAAAATTGCTACATTTGAAGAAGCTGGGTATGGTGATGCAGGCCTGTAATCCGAGCACCTGGGAGGCTAAAGTAGGAGTTTGAGGCCAACCTGGGCTATATAGTGAGACACTGTCTCAAAAAGCAAAAAACAAAATAGCAACAAAATTGCTCCATTGGAAGATCCTTTAAAATTGACATGATTCAACCTCTCTCCTCTCTATTGAATTTGTATACTATCTATGTATGACTTACAAACGATAGCATTTTATATTTTTACAACTTTATTAATGATAGCACATTGTGTATTATCATTCATTCTGCTGCTTTTTTTATTCGACATGTTTTTCAGGTTTACCCGTATTAATATATGTAGTTCTAGTTTATTTAGCTTATTAGCTTTAATTGTGAATAGTGCCCCTCAGTATTATGAGTATGTCTTAACTTATTTGAGTGAACTATGCCTTTTTGTCCTTTCTGGTTAATGGCATTTTAGGTTGCTTTCCACTTTTTTCTGCCACATCAATGTGCTTTAGCACCTGCCTGGAACTGGCTCCTGACAGTGGGCAGCCTTTCCTCCAAAGAGACTGGAAGCGACCAGCCCGCTTGCCAGCAGTCAGCGCTGGTCAGGGGCAAGGCACCAAGGGCACCCTAGGGAGGCCAGGGTGGGCAGGATGAGCCTGTTCTGCTATTTGCCTATTTTGTGTAAACACAAGTAAGGGTGTAGCAGAAAAATTGAGGGTTTTTTTTTCCCTGAAAAATGTTTTTCCTGCAGTCTTTAGCTCATTAAAATGGTACCCACTATTCACCTAATTGATCTGGCAAAAAACATAGAGGTCATCAGCTCAGCTTGGTTTTCTCTCGCACCTGACATCCTACCAAAGCCGATTCATTTTGCCTTGGAAGTCTACTCTCTTTCTACCCGCTCTTCCCACCTGCGAGCAAACCCTCAGCCCACACCACTGTCACCTCTAGGTAGGGCTGTGGGAGCCTCCTCCTGAGTGTGTGCTCAAGTAGGGGCTCTCTCCCTCTCTCTCCCTCTGTCTCCCTCTCCCTCTCTCCCTCTCTGCCTCTCTCTGCCTCTCTCCCAATGTTACATTTGTGAGATTATCCAAGTTGTATGTAGCTATAGTTTAACTTTTTTTTACTATAGCATGTAGGGGACAGGGGAAGGGGACGTTACCAGAACCTCTGCAGTTAGTCCTGGTCTCCTGCGAGCCACGGCAGCACACGGCGAATTACAGGAAAGGTAGAAAAATGAGACCGAGAAGAAGCTGAGCTTTGGGTCTGATCAGTGCTGCTCTGGGCAGCAAAGACAAAAGCCCCCAGCTTACCACACCTTTTATTCAGTACATCGGGAGAAACAAATGTAACAAATGACTTGCAGAGAGTTCAATAGTTCACATTGGGATAAACAAGGTGTAACGGAAGGCTTGCAGAGAGTTCAGTACATCTCCGGCAAACAAGATGTTAATCAGTCCAAGAACAATGAGGAACTGAGCAGATGTTTGTTCTCCCAGGATGTTTCTTGTCCTGGAGAATCACAGCATCACTGGATCCCTGAAGTCTCAGTTGTGACCGGAGGCCAAACTGGAGTTATTCTGTAGCTGGGCTGTAGGCAAGAGGACTAGGCTAACCAAATGATTTATCCCTAGAATTATGTAGCATTGCTCCCAACAATAGCATATCTTATTCATAAATATACTGTACATTATTCTTTTTAAAATTTTTCTGAGTCCACTTTTGCGGTGCATACGATCCCATTCACTGTGAAGAGTCTGTGCGTGTACGTAACACATCTCAATTCTTTCTACAGCCTCTTCTCCTTACCTCCTGCCTCCCTCGTCTCTCAGTCCCCTTCCCTTTTGCAAAACATCTATCTTCTTGTTCCCTATTTTCCATCTTTTATTTTGCTCTTTACATTATTTATACTTTGGGTTTCTCTTATTTAAAAACCCCCATATGATATTTAAGCTTATGTGTCCACTTTATTTCATTAAACATTATGATCTCAAGGTGCATCCACTTTCCTACAAATAACTCGTTTATCCTTCTTTATGGCAGAGTAGTACTCCACTGTGTATAAATACCACATTTTCTGTATCTATTCATCTGTTGATGGACATATGAGCAACTTCCAACATTCAGCTATTATGAGTTGTGCTGTTATAAACATGAGTATAAACATTACCTTAAAAGATATTTGGAGTGTTTTTCACTTTTGGCTACTAAGAACAGTGGTGCTATGAGCATTTCTGAGTCCTAGTGTACGTGTTTATTAATTCTTTGGGTAGATACCTAGGATTGCTAGGTCATAGAACATGTTTGTGTCAACTTGACTGGGTAACAGTGTCGGACAGTTTTCAAAAGCAAATAAAGCTCTCATCCGCATTGCCACTACCAGGTGACCAGGTGTGTACCGCCTGTGGAATGCTTTTTTTTTTTTTGAGTGAGGAGGAATTCTCTTGGGCCACAGATAAAATATATAAGGTGATGTGATATATATGATATATATATATATATATATATATATATATATATATATGTAACTAAACTTCCTTTAAATTTTTTTTAAGATTTAAAAAGGGCAAAAAAGTAAAAGCAGGCCTCAGGAAGAGCATGCCTCCCTCAATATTGTCAGACTTAAAATTTTTGCCAGTGTGATTTGTGTGTAACAGCTTATCACTGTGGTTTTAAGTACATTTCCCTCATTTTTTGGCCATGTGAATATACCACATGAAATACCTATTTAATTTTTTTTGCCTATTTTTCTTTTTCTTTCTTTTTTTTTTTTTTTGGTACCGGAGATCGAACTCAGGACCTTGTGCTTGCGAGGCAGGCAGTGGAACCACTGAGCAAAATCCCCGGCCCTTGCCTGTTTTTCTATTAGAATTTTTTTCTCTTTGATTGGCAGAAGCTCTAAAAATATTCTATGTACTTTTTTTTTTGGTACTGGGTACCAGGGATCAAACTCGGGACCTTGTACTTGTGAGGCAGGGAGCAGAACCACTGAGCTAAATCCCCAGCCTAAAAATATTCTAGATGAGTCCTTTGTTCATTATATGTGTTGCAAATATATTTCCCATTCTCTGGCTTGTCTTTTTACTCTATTGTATTTTTTTTTTTTTGTACTGGGGATCGAACTCTGGACCTTCCACTTGCGAGGCAGGCAGCAGAACCACTGAGCTAAATTCCCGGCCCTCTATTGTATGTTTTGATGAAAAGTCCTTAATTTTATTGGTTTCAGGTATATTCATCTTTTACTTTATGGTTAATAAAGTGTATTGGGTAGAAAATTTTCCCTACTTTATGGTCAGGAAGGTATTCTCCTATGTTATCTTCTTAAAATTTTATAGTTTTTGCTTTTCACATTAGCTCTGGAATTTATTTTTATATACAGTGTATTATATGAATTTTTCTTATGGCTTAAACATTTTCCCAACACCATTTATTGAAAAGATTACCTTTTTCCTCTTTTTTTGTTGTGGTACTAGAGATTGAACCCAGGGCCTTTACACTGAGCTACATCTTCAACCCTTTCTTTTTTATTACTAAATTGCCCATGATGGTCTTGAACTTTCGCTCTCCCTTACTCAGCCTCCCAGAGTGGTGGGATTACAGGTATGCACCACACGCCCAGATTCCCCTCTGTTTTGCAGTACCACCTCTGTGGTAAATCAAACGTTTCTGTCCTGTTTTATTCTCCTGATTTGTTTGTCTATGTCTGCTTCCATATAATACTGCGTATCAGCTAGACTAGGTTATGGTGCAGTAACAAATAACTCTCAAATTATTGTGGGCCACAATAACAAAGGTTTCATTCTAACTCAAGCTGCATGTCTGTTGTGGATTGGCAAGGCCATGGGTTCTATCCCCAGCACTGCTAAATAAATGAATAAATAAATAAACCACTTTGATTATGGATTGTCCATTGTATTTCTGTCAAATTTTGCTTTCTATAGTTTGAATCAATTGGGATACATCGCAGTTTCTGAAATGTGTAGTTTAAAATTTGTGAGTTTCAGCAATGTTCATGGCTGTGCTGCTCATTGTGTGGCATTACTTAAGCATGATCTACTCCATCCTAAATTACATGGGGGAAATCAGCCTTATATTTGGCCCTTTATCTCTGACTGCTCATCCAACTCTGAACGGCCTTGCCTAAGAAAGAGAAGTGGAGAGATAATGAGCTGGGATATTAGTAACTATTTCCACGGTTCTTCTGCTTTCAGGCATCAATCATGGCGATCTTAACGACTATAACATTTTAGTTCAGCCCAGCGAGTCAGCCTCTGGAGATGCTGTGTACCAAGTGTCTGGCGTTTTAGACTTTGGCGACATGAGCTATGGCTGCTATGTTTTTGAAGTGGCGATCACCATCATGTACATGATGATTGAGAGCAAGAACCCCCTGCAAGTCGGAGGCCACGTCCTGGCTGGGTTCGAAAGTGTCATCCCGCTGACCACTGTAGAGAGAGGTGCTTTGTTCCCACTCGTGTGCAGTCGTTTCTGTCAGTCGCTTGTCATGGCTGCCTACTCTTGCCAACTGCACCCAGACAACAGAGAGTATCTCATGATTACTGCAAAAACTGGGTGGAAACACTTACAGCAAATGCTTGACATGGGCCGGAAAGAGGTTGAGGGAATCTGGTTTGATATTGCCAGGTCCTATGAGGCTGGGGGCTCCATGTGACTGGGAAAGAGTTCACATTCACTAAGCAAATGCCATGGGGCCAAATCAAAGTTTGTGAGGGAGGTTCCTGCATAGAGAAAAAGGAATTAATGGAACAGATCTGTTCTGAATGTCGCAGAGCACATGAAACCTCTAAAGCAGTGATGGCAAACTTATGGCACACATAATGTGTTTTTCGTTTATGACAAAAGATGTTAATGTAAGAGTTGTTTTTTCTAATCTAAAACCTCAGTATTCAGGTTTAATTGCAGTGTTGGCACTTGGTGATACATAAGTGGGTCTTGGGTTGCAGTTTGGGCACTTGGTCTTTAAAAGGTTTGGCATCACTTTTCTAAGGTCTTCAAGAGATCGCAGGACCATTTTTTTTTTTTTTGAGACAAGGTCTTGCCCTGTAATTCAGACTGCCTTGAACTCTCTGTGTAGCCCAAGCTGGCCTTGAATGCACAGCAATCCTCCTGTCTCAGCCTCCTGAGTGCTGGGACTATGGGCATGTGCCACCACGCCCAGCCTCAGGACCACTTTTGAATTTAAGAATTTAGTTCTCCGTGGGGGTACATGCCTTGGGAGTGAAATTCACATAGTGATACTGGATTCTGAATCAGATCATCTCTCAATATCTATCCCAGCTTTTCGATCAATGACTGTTTTAAACTTTGAAAGGAAAGTACACATGTATGTATATAAATAGATTCACATATTATAAATAATTGGACATAAATGCAGATTTGGCTAACATATCACCAATTCTATGAAATTGCTCTCTCCTTTCTAGACTCTCAGTGCATTCTTCCTTTTTCACGCCATTGCTCTGGGTACTGGATTATGCTTGTGCAGCCATCTAACCCAAGAGCTATGTGATCATGCGAGAGATAATGAAGAACTTACTTTTGTCTCCTCATCCCTTCTTCTCACACCTGTGGTAGTACCTTTCTTTACCAGAGAAAGGTCTTCAGATGTATGTATTTGCAAAATGAATGCAAGAAGAAAGGCTGGAGGAAACACAGATGATGTAATCATATGAGAAAAAAAGTTCAGCTCTTTAAGCGGGTGATTGAAACTGGAACTCCCAAAGTAGGTGCTGGAAGACAGGACAGCTGCAAGGAAGCACATGAAGACCTCCAATTAAGGTCACTAATTTACTCAGAGCCAGGGCTGCGATCAGATCTTCAGTGCAGCCCATGCTCCTCCGAACCACTGCAAAATCTTACTCAACTGACTTCCTCTGCTTCCATCCGCCCTCCACACACACAGACACACACACTTACACACATGTCAGGGGAACCAGTGAGATCACTCACACTTCTCAAATTTAAGGGATTGTGGTTTTTATCTAACTTGACCATAAAGAAAAACTACAGACCAGGAAAATGGACTGAAGTTTGGATTTCACTCTCAAATCAGTGTTCATTCTCCTTTGTAATGAATCCCTCTTGATTGTTGCTATGGTTTAGATCTAAACTGTCCCCCCAAAGCCTTGTGTGTGGAAGGTGATTGGATCATGGCGGTGCCTCATGCATCAGTGGATTCATTGATGAGTTCAGTAGCAGACTGTGTTGTCAGCAGGTGGAGCCTGGGTGGAGGTGGTCACTGGGGCAGGACTAGGGTGAGTACATTCTTGTCCCCAGCTCTCTTTCCTTCCTGGCTGCCAGGGGTTTAACAGCTTTCCTCCAGCAGGCCCTTCCACCATGGTATTTTTGTCTTGGAGCCAGCCAACCATAGACTGAAACTATAAGGCAAAATAAATCTCACTTTCTTTAAGTTGTGGATGTTGGGTATTTTGTCCCAGTGACAGAAAAGTAACTAAGACAATTACTCATGCTAACCTGGATTCCTTTCATTGAATTCCTGATACAAATATTGCTGATCACTACTTTAAGATTCATCTATCCTTCATTCCTTCCTTCCTTTTTGTTGATACTGGGGATTGAACCCAGGACCTTTGCACTGAGCTATATCCTCAGCCCTATATTCTTCTTTTATTTTGAAACAGGTTCTTCCTAAGTTGCCAGGGTGGGTTTGAACTTGTGATCTTCCTGCCTCCACCTCCCAGTATGCTGGGATTACAAGTGTGCACCCATTCCTGGCTCTATTTCAGCATACATGCTACATTGAATTGATATTTTACTGTTTGGGGTTTGTTCTAGCAGATCTTTAATCATCAGTTCCAGTTTCATAAATTCTTTCAGGAGCTACCTCCTGAGGGAAACCAAATCTGTCACTGCCTGTTCTTAAAACTGTGTCCATAAATACAATAAATACCTGTATTAGATCTAAGTTGCTCCTTGTGTGGTATTTTATTTCAGAGGTGGCTGGATCTAGATTGTGTGGTGCTGAGATTAAGGTTGCATGGCTACCAAATTAGTCACCGATTTGTTTGGCATAGTTCTGGGTAGGATTAAGGGTTCCCCATCCTGGCTGTGAATGCCATCTGCCCTAAGGGTGGGTAGCCTGGCTAAAAATATAAGGGACAAAAAGAGGGCTAGTGTGTCCCTTGTCCTTGCTGCTTGCTGCTTTTGGTGTACTCTGCCTGCCATGGGCGGTTTTTCCTCTGTGCTGCCCCTCTGCCATGTCACCCCCTGATTAGAACCAACCAATTATACACAGAAACCTCTATGAACTGTCAGCCAAAATAAACCTTTCCTCCTTGAAATTTATGTGTTGGGTATTTTTTCTCAGCGATGAGAAAATTAACAGAGACACAGTTATATAGTGAGCAGAAGAAAATCATTTGCACACCAAATGCCCACACATGCATGGTTCCTGAAGGCAGAGCTGAGGTGATGTTCTCACACACAGACCCCATCCCACAACTGTGACCCAGGACCTCAAGGTCACACTCGTCCTGGGAAGCCAAATCCATCTCCACCTCCTCACCCTGCTCTGCACCTCACCTGGACCAGCATCATCCACTGATGTGTCCCGTATTTAAGGGCAGGGATTTCCTGTTCCTGCTGTGCTATCCTAAGTGCACCTATTGTTTGCAACTCAGGACACAGACATCTTCCACAATATGACCTCACCTGAGATGTGGCAAGATCCTCCCTGTTGGACCTTCTGCATTCCAGCTACCTGTAGATCCCTGAAAGCTCTAAAAGATTTCATGGGTTTTCTTCTCTTTTCTTCTTCCATTTTTTAGTGTTCAGTCATGATTGTGCAAATGTCATTTTCAATTACTCTCCTTAGATTTCTCACTCAATTAAGAGTTCAAATTTGTCCACTGAAGGTGTTTCTAGATTTTATTCTAACCTGTTAAGACAATGAAAATTATTACCCACATACTCAAATCTATAAAAATCTGAAAAAATTAACATCACAATGTGTTCAGAGGCCTGTGAAACAAATAAAATTGCAAACTGATGATCACAAAGAAACTTGGAGAGACAGGAAGATCCAGAGACACACGTGAGTCATGCTTCCTGGTACAGAAGGAGCTGGAGGAACACAGTGGTCAGAGCACTAAGGAGGAGGGGATGGATGAATGGAGGACAGGAGGGACTGAGGATGAGGTCACATCATGCTCCTGGGGGCTACACAGCCCACATGGTACCTCCAGCAGCCCCTGGGATTTCAATGAAGATCTCAAAAGATCACATAAGCCTGTGACAGAGGAAAGGAGGACTGACCATTGAGAGATGGACACAGACACTGCTCCAGACAGAAGATAATCAGGGAAGGACTTTTCCAAAAAATTATCCTTCTTGAAGGAAAAGTATTCTCTTAACTGTAGAACAACGAACCATCCATCAGGGATGATCTAACAGAGTCAACGCATTTCATAGGAGAAAGAAATTAAAGGAAATTCTCTGTCTCTCAAAAAGGAGCAGATGTCAAGGGAAAATGAGATATAGCCACAGACTGAAGGAGCTGCAGGACCAGGGCCACCTGAGAGGAGAACTTAGTGAAACTGCAAAGAGCTGAGGGGACAGAGGAGAGGACAGGACAGCCCTGTGTAGCCTCTGCCTCCACCACCTGCCAGACCCTGCTCAGGGTGTCCAGGGTCTCAGGCTCATTTTTTTCCTCCCCTTGGAAATTCTTCTTTTCTCTGGTGGAGGCAGGCCCAAAGATATCGTCTAGCTCAGTCTTATAGAAAACCCCTATTGCTATGTGACAGTTTAGCTAAACACTCAGTAATGTAAAACTTCAATTATAATGTTATTATCTCATGGTTTCTATGGGTCATGAACTCAGGTCTGAGGACAGCTTGTCTTTGCTCCACAATACCACAGGCCTCAGCTGAGAAGACTTGAATGCTAGAAGAGTTGATGCCTGAGAAACTGGTCCCAAAGACCAGAATCATCTGGAGAAATCTGCACTCACCTATGTGGCAGGGGATGCCAGAACCATATCTGAGCTGTGGCCAAACATCTCTCCACATGGTCTATGCTTCCTCACAAAAATGAAGGTCACCCCAAGAGGACAAGACAGAACTATATTACTTTTCATGGCCTATTCTCAGAAATCACATTATCACCTCAGGCTAGTTTCAAGGCAAGGTGATACAGAATCTCTAGGTGGGAATGATCCATAGCACATTGTAAGAAGGTGACAGGTGGGAGAGCTTTAGGCCTCATCAAGGTCACTTTAGTCCTACCTTCCTATTTCCAACAGAAAAAAAATGGGGCATCAAAAGCATCCCACAATTTGCCCTCAAATGTTTGTCCTCCTTTACTTGCTGTATTCTCTCTCCCACTCTTCCATTCAGGCCAGACTGAACTAGTCTATCACCTAAACTTGTCAAACTCATTTTTCTGCCCTTTTATCTCAATTGATCGCCTTTCTTTGACTTAAGAAATCCTACCTCTCACTTAAAACTCAATGTTTGAAAAAAACAAAACTCAATGTTTGCTGACTTCTGAAGTATGAACTAAGGTGGGAAGGCAGGGGCTTTCAGAGGTAGTTTACATTAGGACACCTGAGGATGCTTACTGCCTGGGTGTGGCCCTTTGCCAGGTCAACGCTGTACTTGGGAAGCAGAGATGACAGGAGAGATTTCAAAATGCAACTCATTCCTAACTTAACTCCTTTTCAAAGTCCAGATCCCAAAGCTTTGCACCCTACGTAGAAAGGACAAATTCCTTGCCCAATGCTCTGAAATGACTACATACTAACCCAGATCTAGTCAGCCCACTAGGCCCCCCGCAAAAAAACCCTAAACAAATAGTACTTCACATAGTTGGATAAAAAAGTTTGGAGAGATGGAAACAGGACAGCACAGCAATAAAATGCTGTGCGTATAATGATGTAGGTTATTGCTTTAACTAGGTTGATGGGGTAAACCCTTTCTGAAGCAGAGGAGACCAAAGTGAAAGTTCTTCCAAAAGTGCCAATCCATCATGATTTGTTCTATACATTTAAAAAGTCCTACATTAGCCGTGTGTCGTGGCCCACGCCTGTGATCTCAACACTCAGGAGGCTAAGGCAGGAGCATCGCTGAGAGATAGAGGCCACCCTGGGCCACATAGTGAGTTCAAGGCCAGTCTGCAGTGCATAGCAAGATCCTGTCTCAAAAAAAACAATACATAGGGCCGGGGATTTAGCTCAGTGGTTCCGGGGATTTAGCTCAGTGGTTCCGGCGCCTGCCTCGCAAGTGGAAAGACCTGAGTTCGATCTCCGGTACCAAAAAACCCCCAACCCAATACATAAAGAAATATATATCAGCCATAAAAGTGGAACCCACATCTGAGAAGGGAGACGCTGAGCAGAAAGTTTAGTCTGCTGTGGCTGGAACCACTATGAGTATCAGGGCTGGAACTGCAGGGGACTTAGCTCCATCCACACTACTGCTGTACTAGGTCTACAGCCCCGTGGTCTACCGCCCGTGATGAACTGAAAGTGAAAGAGTGCAGGGCACAGGCGGAAATTGCTGGCGCTCCAGGGCTGGACCTCTGCGCGAGTAGGCACCACAGCACCGTCCGGAGCCCGGCCGGCCAGGCGCCGTCTACCCTGGATACGTTTTGAGCACCGCCTTCCCGGCCTATAGGTCCTCATCCGAGCTCTAGGGGACTTCCGGGCCGCTCTGCGCATGCGTGGCGGCCATATTCGAAGTGGTTCGCAGGCAGCTGCTTTGGTTCTCGCTTCTTGCGGAGGAAAGCGGTCGTTGTAGCTGTGGATTCTGATTCTTCATTGTTTTCTCTCCGGTGAGCCTTGTCCACCCTGAGGGCTCGCAGAAGCGTGGGCGCTGTCCCTTGGGTGGGGGTTGTGAACTTCGAGGTAGCTGGTCGGCCTGCAGCCGCTGCTGACAAGCTATGGGACGATGACTGTGCACCCGCCTCCGCGGAGTGGCCCCTGCCGGTTACCCTTGCTCCCCCCCCCGGGGCCTGAATGACAGGGAGGGTCTGGCCAGGCCCAGGGAGACGGTGGTCAGGACCGAGGGCTCGGACAGGGCCGAGTGGTCGGGGCGCCTCCAACCCTGGTTCCCCAAGACCCGAACGTGAACACCTCTGGATGTGTGAAGTGCTCAAACTCGTGGAGCACTCGTGGAGATGCGGCTTCTAGTATTTACACGCAGATCAGACCCCTGCCCTGCCTCCTCTCTGTGCCCTTCGGCTGCGCTGCCCAGGAGCCCCCCCCCCCACAACTGCTTGTGGGAGCCGAGCCACGACCGGCTGCGCTGCCTCAGCCTTTCACCAACTTTTGTGATTTTTGTAAACTACCAGTTTCTGTGGCCCTTGGGCTCAGAGTCTTGGTGGAGCCCACCTGACCAAGACCCCTGCTTACGTTTCCAGTCTTAATTCCTTTGATTATCTGAAGTACTTGGGAATATGGGCTTTGGACTGAGGTTTGGTTTTTCTACTAAATCACATTGAATCTTGGCTGTTGTCTTTTGCGAAAATGGAAATGATGCCCAGGCTTACTCTCTGCACCTACCCTTAAGGTCAGCACCCCCCCCCCCAATCCCCATGAAACTTCAGCCAATGACTCTTGCCCATTGAGCTCTCCTGCTTTGTATCCTTTGCTCATGCTTTATCCTCTGCCTGCAGGGCCCTTCTCTCCCTTCCTCTGTTCTTCCTTGTAGACCTGAGGGTTTTCAACTTGTTCTGCCTTACCAGTCTCTCAATTCATTGTCTGTATCCTTTTCTAAAAAAAATACTTTATTGATTTTCTCTTTTCCCACCCCACCTTCAGTGCCTCTTTCCACATTACTTTATAACCTATGTTCCTTACACCTGCCTGCCAGATTATAAGCTCTCAAGACAGGAATTGGATGTATGTATCATGATTTTCCAACATCTAGATAAGTGCCCAGTACTTAGCAGGTGCACAGTGAATGTTAACTGAATAAAACAGATTTTTAGTCAGGAAATGCATCCTAAATTATGAATTTTATTTTAATGATGATCCTGTTTTCTTTTTACAGGAATTTTCTAAAGTTCAGAAACCATGGTGAGTTAATAACACAAGCTAGTAAACTTGGCTGAGGAATACTATTGCTTGCACTCAGCCTACGCTTTTATTGGTACATTTTAGGTGTACAGTATAAAGACATTCATCATTGGAGACATGCACCTTTACATACTCTCTTGATTCTTATTTTTTCCCCATTCCCCTGCCCTCCCTTCAACCCTTCCATCCCTCCCTATTTACAGAGACTTTGTTTCCTTTTTTTCATTTTCTCATGTTAATTCCATTCCCTTCTTTCCTTTCCCCTACCCCTCCCACTTCCCCTTCCCCTTTGGCCCTTTTCTTCCTATTTCACATTATCTATTATACCTTTTAGTCCTTATTTACACTTTCAGTTTCTCACACTAGAGAAAGTATTTGGTATTTACGTGTGTGTCCTATTTATTTCACTTAAGAGTATCGCCTCAATGTCCATCCATTTAGGAATAAATGTCTGTAATTTCTCTTTTTTGATGGCTGAGTAGTACTCCATTTTATTAAAAAAACCACATTTTCTTTATCCAGTCTCCAGTTGATGGGCATTTGGGCTGTTTCCAAGTTTTAGCTATTACAAACTGTTCAGCTTACAGTCTTGCATGAGAAAATTGAATGGAATGGAAGGAGAATTTTGTGGTGCCATCAGCCTTATCAGCTCCCACATACTGAACTTTGTGCACCATGCGTTTTGTGATTTGTGGGCTTGCTGGAATTGGCTAATTTTCAGTGGGCAGAAATCACTTGTATGTTTTTTCTTTGCAGTCTCGAAGATATGACTCCAGGACCACTATATTTTCTCCAGAAGGTAAAATAGAAATTGTTCAATCTGCCCCAAAGATTTTATGTGTATGTTAGGCTTTAATCAGTTAACAGTTTATCCCGAGCATCATTTGGGCAGCATGATTGTTTCTGTACTATTATGAGCATCACTCAGGCAGGTGTTGAATATTTTTAAGATATACCATACACAGAAAAATTATTGAATAAATTTGATAAAATTGTCATTTTATATTTCCCGTTATAAAAATTAACAGAAAAAAATGCAACTTTTGGTCATTCTGTATTTAAGTAATTGTCCTGGTAAGTGAATGGTTAAAAGAAAAAAAAGGAAATGTTTCTGCAGTTGCTAAGTTCATTCTTTTTACACTTGTAAGTAACTGGTCACTAAGTTGATGACATTATGCTTCATAGAAAGGTCAAAGTGGCCCTGTTATTTGCAGCCTGCTCGTGTCATTGTGGGTTCCTCTTGGACCAGTGATATGGGAGCACCAAGGAGCATCCTGGCTTCTCACTGCTTGTGTTTTATAGGTCGCTTATACCAAGTTGAATATGCCATGGAAGCCATTGGACATGCAGGCACCTGTTTGGGAATTTTAGCAAACGATGGTGTTTTGCTTGCAGCAGAGAGACGCAACATTCACAAGCTTCTTGATGAAGTCTTTTTCTCTGAAAAAATTTATAAACTCAATGAGTAAGTATTAATTTAGGAAGAGTTTTAAGTATTTCGTTTTCTCACATAAATGGGATCTGCCTGGTTGGGGAGGGTTCTTCTGTGTGACATGGTAGATTTGAACAGTTTATTTTTACTTCTGAAAACTTGTGCTTTTACTCTGCTTGAAATCTCCTTGAAGCCTAGAACCACCTGTTACCCCTTTTTACCTCTGGAAGCATTTATTATGTTTAGCTACTTTTGGGGAGGGGGTGTGGACTAGGAATGGTACCTAGGGCTTCACACATGCTAGGCAAAATTACTGAGCTGCATCCCCAGCCCTTACTGTCTAACTACCTTATTTATTTATTTTTTAATTTAATTTAATTCATTTTTTGGTGTATGTTACTTCTCTGAAATGCAGAGCTGGAATAGTGGAGAAACAGCATTGTATTGTTTAGTGTTAGACATATAGACTAAGTAGTCACGCAGATCTGGGTTCAAATCCAGGCCCCACTCATATGAACTGCATAGCCTTGCACCAATTATTTAACTTCTTAGGGTCTCAGACCTCTTAGAGTAATTGTTAAAGTCTAATAAAAATAAAATAATAAAATGAATGCAATAAACTAGCACAATGTCTGACATGTAGCAGCCTTAAAACTATTAAGAGTAACTATTCAGGACTTTTGTTGAATGTACTGTTTACTAAAGAACAGGCCTCCTAGAGATCTGGGAACATTTTAGGCATAACCTGTGAGATTTCTGTTCATTTTGGATATGCAGAACATTGTAGTTATTGGAGAGCCAGCTGTGCTGGTTAGAAACTTTCCTTCAGGGTTGGGCCTGGTGACTGCTGGTCACTGAGTCTGAATCACTCAAGTGAGGTAGTATCATCCCCCACATAACCACTTTTGGGCCTGCTTTGCAGATGGAGGCTTGAGTTGCATAGAGAGCTTGGGTGTCTAGGATATAGTAGAGCTAGGCAAGGCTCAGGGTATGGAAGAAGGAAAGGAAAAGCAGCCCTTGTGGGAGGCTGGTCCTGGACTTGCTAGGCATCTTGTGAACTCCCCTGCTCTCATGGTCCCTCACTCTCACCTCCATGAGCCAGCCTTACAAGGCAGGAGTACAGTGGACCCCGAGTTACGACCGGCCTGATGTACAAACTAACTTGGGTTATGACTGGAATTTTAGTTTTAACTTATGACCAGAGTCTTGCGTTATGACCCAAATGCTGGCCTCTTGTGCTTCCAGATAGTTCCAGATACAGATTTAACCCTTAAAGTGTTCTGGAAGGAACATCACAACATCCTTACCTGTGTGGGGTTGAGAGATCCCACGGCAAGTCTCTAAGGACACTGAGATCTGCCTCTATACAGGAGAGAGACTTTGAAGGCTGTGTAGAGGAGCCTGAGTTTCAACCAGCCCTCAGGAGTGAATTAAGTTCGTTAGTCAAGGGTCCACTGTACTACTCTAGAGCATAAGGGTAATGTGTCTATTCAGCAAAGCCTGTTTCTTTTTTGGGGGATTTTCTTTGGTGTCCTAGTGCTCATTCTCTTGCCCTATTCAAGGATGGCAGTGTTAAATGCATCTACTAAAGGATTTAGATTGCATTTGTTTGTCATTTGTGTTGAATGATATCAAGTAAAAATCTCTTACAAAGATAAAACTACTGTAGCATTTTTCTGAAGTGTGTAGCAGCTTAAGAAGTCTGGCGAGTTCCTAATAGATCTTGGTACTTCTTAATAGTCATAATTCCCATACAGTCACCTTCCTGCTTACTGATCAGTGTCTTCTCTTCAAGGGACATGGCTTGCAGCGTGGCAGGTATAACTTCTGATGCTAATGTTCTGACTAATGAACTGAGGCTCATTGCACAAAGGTAGGAACATAAATACCAATTTCTAATTTCTGATGATAGGGAAATTAGTTTAGCAGTTTCTAAGGAGAGCTTACTTTTGCAAAGTTTAACGTCACTGAAGATCTATTCATTGACTATTTTTAAGTTTTTTAGTTAAAAATATAACATGCTACAGCAACAGTGTTAGGATGTCGACTTTCCCTTCTCTCTTTCCTCTTCAAATACATTGACAGTTATGTTGGCTTCATGGCATAGATTTCTTTTCAGAGGACATTTTCCTTAGAGTCTGTGTGTTTTAAAGAAAACTCTTACTATGCCAATCTCTTTATTCTAGGTATTTATTACAATATCAGGAGCCAATTCCATGTGAGCAGTTGGTTACAGCACTGTGTGATATCAAACAGGCCTATACACAATTTGGAGGTACTGAGTTTTTTGGGAAATTTTAATCCAAAAATTGAAAATGTTTTATGAATGGTAACCTTTTTTAAGACAGTAAAAAAAAAAATTGAAAATCAACACTTCATATACCTGCTTCGTGAAGGAACCTGCTTCCACTAGGTAGATTTCATATGCTGTAGTAATAGGATATTGAAAGGCAAAGTGACATTTTCAAATCTGGAAACAAATTCTCTTCACATAATAATGAAATTCAGCACTGGTCCTCTGTGTCCTCATTTCCTCTCCTGGCTGCATCCAAATCCTAGAAGCGGAAATGCAATCTGTGATAGAGCTTATCTATAGTGGCCAGAGCACAAAGCAGTTTATGAATGCCTAACTTCCCAGGAAAGGGTTTAGCGTGGGTAACTATGGTGATACCAAATCGAGATTGTTAACGTTTTTGCCTTCTTTTCCTTTGTTAAAGGAAAGCGTCCCTTTGGTGTCTCGTTGCTGTACATTGGCTGGGATAAGCACTATGGCTTTCAGCTCTATCAGAGTGACCCCAGTGGAAATTATGGGGGCTGGAAAGCCACATGCATTGGAAATAACAGTGCTGTGAGTATTTCCTGGTGCTGTAAATGCTACCAAAGGTTTGATAAGGCCCATAAAGTTGAGGTAATGATGAATGTAAGCAGCATCTTCAGACAGCTGCAGCAACCTTCAGGTGGTATGAAAATATCCATGATTACTGTTGCAGACAGAGTTGCAGGTACTGCCGACGCACCAGTGTTGTCTACATTTGTAATTAAATACTAGTTTTCATTTAGAAATTGTGAAAATAAAGATGCAATGTAGATTTTGATGTCTTAGTTCATAGACCTCCTGAATTCTCGCCTGGATCCTTCAGGGCCTGAGGACCTAGGTTAGGGACTCCATTTGTAGAGCAGCAGCATCCCTCTTCTCACCCCACCTAGTATCCACCCTCTTTGCCATCAAAACTGTTTATACTGGACGTAATGCCAGTAAAGCTTCAGGGATTGTTCTTCTAAACCAGTGATGGTGAACCTTTTAGAGCTTTCAGTGGTAACAGCTGGCTGCAGCATGTGTGCTATAGGTTCACCACCACTGTTCTAGGCTAATCCATATTCCTAAATGCAAAGACTTGTTAATTCTTTGTTTCGTAGGCAGCTGTGTCAATGTTGAAACAGGACTACAAAGAAGGAGAAATGACTCTGAAGTCGGCGCTTGCTTTAGCTATCAAAGTGCTGAACAAGACCATGGACGTTAGTAAGCTGTCTGCTGAGAAAGGTGACTCTTGTCCCTTCCTTTTGTCATATGATTGGGCAGCTGTAGTGTTGGCTCTTGAGTGTATTGTCCTAGTTCATGGACGTAGCAGCCTCAGAGTTAGGCGGCTTTATACTGTGTCCTAAACAGGGATGCTTGGGCTTCATGAGGTTAAGTGATTTGACCAAGACCAGCACTGCTAAGTTGTGGGGTCACACGATCCCACACTTCCTGGACCTCACCTTGAATGTTCTCAGCACTCAGAAACCTGGCGTGCTCCTTTAACAGCAAGACCTCTCATTAGTAGTATTGATGCTTCTGTCTGTGACAAAGTGTGTATGATTATGTGTCGATACTTAGATCTAATATGTTTTGTCTGGGTCAGAACTTTTGCATGATTGTACCCTGTCAGGTTTTTCTGGATCTATCAGTCTTTAAACTCATGTTAGCAATATCAAATACTTCATTCAACTTAAGTTGTATGACTATATAAAATAATACTTGTAAATAATGTTTTTCAAAACTTGTGGTTAATTAAAGTATTAGTTTGGTGTAGGATAACTTCACTCTTACATTGTTGTTTAGAAAATGCCAAAAAAAAAGAAAAAAAAAAAAGAAAGAAAATGCCATTTACTTACAGATTGCCCTCTAATGTTGTCTTCTACCTAATTTCATGGAAGCCCTACTTAGAAAATCTTTCCCTTTTGTGTATCAGTCAGTCTGCCTTTCTTACCCATAGCCATGCCATAGAAGCTGCTTTTTAACCGTTATTTTGAAAAGTCTCTAAAAGAAGTATCATTACTGGCCGAGAGTTCAGGGTGTCCAACAAGAAGAGTGTGGGTCCTCTGATGGGCACAGCTAACAGCAGGCCAGCATGAATAGTACTGACTGCACTTGTCCCAAGGGAATCGCAGGTGGTTGCTGAGAAAGTTGGGATGGGGGAGAAGGAAGATATGTAGGCAAAAATAGTATTCAAAACAATGTGAGAGCAAAGTTACTTTGTTCCCATAAATGTATCTGTGAATAGTAATTAAAGCATAAAATGTGGGAAAGTAGTGAAGTAAAGCTTGAGCACTTCAGAAGAAAAAGCCCTGGCACATGGAGTTTGCTGGGTCCACCTGCCTCTAACACAATTGTGTTTGTTTTTAGTGGAAATCGCCACATTAACCAGAGAGAATGGGAAGACGGTGATAAGAGTTCTCAAGCAAAAGGAAGTGGAACAGTTGATCAAGAAACATGAGGAAGAAGAAGCTAAAGCTGAGCGTGAGAAGAAAGAAAAAGAACAGAAAGAAAAAGATAAATAGGAGATGGAATCAAGGATTTCATAACTCGTGTGGGGCACTCTTTAAGTGTAGACATTGTTCTATTCTTCCAAGTCCAAGAAGGCTTTTTTTTAAAAAACAAAAAACTTGGACAGTGGAGAAATAAGACATGACCTAGTGAATTGGGTCCTTGTCTCTTTATTGTAATGATGATGATGATCACTCTTCATGGACATCTTAATTGCACACAAACCCCCTTTTTGGAATAAAATTTGGAAAGAATGGAAACAGTGAAGGAAAAAGTTCTCTGTAACAGTAATTGATAGATGGCAGGACTGACACTTACTGTCATTCGTTATGGGTCCTGTGGTTTATGTTCCTGTCACAGTGGGTGGAGTCCTCGGGCCAGCTGAGTTACCCATGCTGTACCCTGTCCCAGTTGAGGGAATGGCTTTAGAACTCAAACGATGTCTGAGGAGAGTCAGAATTGATGTGTGTGTGTGAGCTTTCTGTTGCTGTGACAATGCCTGACAGGAGGAAAGGTGGAGTTCTGGTGGTGTTTTTTTTGGTACTGGGGATCAAACTCGGGACCTTGCACTTGTGAGGCAGGTGACAGAATCACTGAGCTAAATCCCCGGCCCAGGAAAGGCATATTGACTGTTTCAGAGGGTTCAGTTCCTGATCACTGGCTTTAGCACTTGTAGACCTGTGGCAAGCTGCACAGGAATGTCGGTAGAGGGCATGGAGCAAAGCTGCTCACCTGGGGCAGCTAGGAAGCCAAGAGGAAGAAGGGCAGGAGCTGGGGACAAGATGTCATCCCCAAGGTCATAGCCCTGTGACCCATTCACTTCAACTAGACCCCTTGTCTGTGGTTTCCATGACCCCCCCCAACTGCCATTGAATTAGGATTAATCTGTGGATGAAGTTACAGCCTGCCCAACCCTGGCACCTTCCTGAGGCCTGACTTAGGAGCACAGAAGACTGGGGACAGGTAGATCTGACGGCACTGTGTGAGGAAGGAATTCGAGGCTCTGCAGCTAGAACTGAGGCTACCCAGTCGGCAGCTAAACTTCCACGGACCATAGGATGGGAGAAGTCAAAGCTGCAAAGAAAAAGGAACTGAGATGGGAATAGCTGTGACGGAATGTCGCTGCCCAGCTCTGCTCTGATTTCTGGGACCTCATAGAAGTGGCTTAGGCTGAGCCACCTACAGTGTGGTCCGTGGGTCTGCAGCTGCATCACCTGGGATCTGCTGGGAATCAAGGGATGGGGTAGAGCTGAGTGACTCATATGCGTGCGCACTGAAGTTTGAGAATGTGCTCTGCATATTCACATCACCTGGGGAGATCCATGCAACTCTGCCTCTGAGGTGGGACCCAGGAGAGTGCATTGCAGTGGGGATGGGAACCAGACCAGGAGGTTCACTCAGCCTTAGTGCCTGACTCAGCTGCTATGCCTCGAGCAGACACAGGGTCGAATGTGCTTAGGAACTGCAGTTTCTTGAAGTTTTCTGTGTGGGCTGTGTACCCTAATCCCTTGTGACTACTTTTTTTTTTGAGGCTTGTAAATCAGTACAGCTGACGTTCATTATTTCTGGTAGCTGTGTTCCACAGTCACCACCAGGAGTGGGGGTGTGGCTCGTGGAGCTGAGGCCGGAGCTGGATCCCTTGCACTGCCAGATAAGCCATGGCAAGAACTGAAAGAGCAGATTCGGAGCCTTTGCACTGGGAAAAGCCCTGAGCTGGGCTCCCGCAGGTCTCCAGTCACAGCGTTGTCATCAGTTTGTATCTGATTTCGTGTGTGTTTATACTTCACACAGACTAGGCTCACTAACAGTCCTGCCAACAGCACTATGCCTGAGTGTACTTTCTCCGTAAGGCCATCATAGACCATGTGCTGGGACACTAAACAGTACCTCAGCACTGTATTTGAAGATCACTTCACACACTGAAATTGCCAAGGTAAAAAATGAGAAAAGCATGGCATGAAGCTGCTATGAACCCCCACTTACAGTTTCAAGGCAAAAACCAGAAGGTCAAGTGTCGTCCTGTTAGACCCCAGCTACGATTGTTCTCCTCGGGCTAGTCTTAAAAACTTTCACCAACCTATGCATATTGGCAAATGACTGAAAGTACTGCTGTCAGCAGGTGGGGTCCAAGGATGTCCCCGAGAGAGCTGGGGATCTCAGTCTGGCCCAGATAAATTCTCTACTCACATCACAGAAGAACTTTACGATGCAGCGAGTGAGGCATTCAGAGAATGAGAAAGCGAGGGGAAGAGGAGAGGACCCCGGCGTGTCGTGAGTACCTGGAGGGGCCCATCCAGGTGCAGACCTTCAGCCCGGCCACTCCCAGTTGGGCAAGGCCAGGTTGTACAGATTGGCTGAGCTGGCCAGGCTGTGCTCTCATTGTCTCAGAGAAAGCCTCGTGGCCTGGGAGCAGTGAGGTCTCCAGGAGAGAGTATCCCTGCTTGGGAGGAGTAGCCTCCGTTCCATCAAGGGGTCCTTGCTTCCACTTGTGAGAGGTGACCTCATCATGGGGGTCTGCTAGCTGTTGTTTTTCCTGGAATCTGAGGTGGCTGTTGGCTTGGAAACTCTTGGGCATTGCTCCAGGGGAGTCTGGAACTAGATATTGTAAAAACTGCCAATTGGCTGTCCCTGTAAGCCGTGGAAATTGCTTGTTTGCTCTTATCTTGGGTTCCTCAGTATTGAGTGGGGATGAGATAGACTAGGGAATCGTAGAGCTAGTAAACCTTGTCATACAGACACTCCTTATATGACTAACATGCCTACATGCAGAGCCATAAAGGGATCCAACCCAAAGTTTCAAGATAATAAGGGAGACAAAAAATTGAATTTCGTGTCTCCTTATCTCTCTTTATCCTACCTTACTATGAATATTGATATGGGGGTCACAAGGAAATTTCTGTGAGTAGGCGGGTTCCCAAACATACAGTCTGCTAATGAGGATTGGTTGTACTCTTAAAATGAACTTCCTTCAATCTTGTCACCCCAGAAAGTACAGAGATGAAAAGCAAGCCAATAAATCCAGCCATTACCATGGAGGGACCAGGGGTGACCTGGTTCAACACACTATAGCCTCCCTCTCATGTGGACTCTTACAGCAGCCTCCCAGCATGTCTCCTGCTTCCACTTCCTGCCCTACATGCAGTTAACACAGTAGCTAGAGGGGTCCTTTTGAAATACAGTATGTGCTGCTGCTTTGCCCAGCACCTTCCATTGGCTTCCTGTCTTCTCAGTAAGAGTCAGGTTGTTCGCATTGGTCGTGACACACCTTCTCTCCTGGCCCTGCTGCTGCGTTTCCACCAGATCTCTTCCTCACTTGCGTGGATCCAAATGTGTCTCTGGCAGTCCTGGCCTCCAGGCTTCATCCTCACAGGGCCGGTGTTCTTGCCAGTTCTGCTGCCTCGGGGTGCCCTGCCCTGGGTATCTGTGCTGCCCACTGCTGTACAGATACCCTCCTCTGGCCTCAGTCTGGCTACCTCTATAACAGACCAATCTGTTTTCTATATCCCTTTCCCTGCTGCGCTTTCTCTGTAACACTCATCACCAGCTGGTGTATTTGTCTGTCTCCTGCAGGGGAACAGGTTTCATAGGAGGAGTTTTGTTTTTATTCTGTGTCTGTGTCCCAGTGAATAGAGCAGCAACTGATGTACATTAGGCAATGTTGATGACAGCCTCTCCATGTGCGGTAATGAAATCCTAAAAATTCCTTTTCTAGCCAGGCTTCTGTATCCTGACCACCTCTCAGGACCCTAAAGTTAGGACAATGTCTGGAAGGCCATGTTGGTAAAGAGAGCCCACTCCACAGTGGTGGCAAACCTGTGGCATGCATGCTTTAGCGGGCACGCAGATCCCTCTCTGTCAGCATGAGAGCCAAGTGTGTGAGTTTCTTCTAAACTAAAACCTCAGTATCCAGGTTTAATTGCAATGTTGGTGCTTTGTGATAAATAAGTGGGTTTGGGGGTGTAGTTTGGGCCCCTGGTCACTAAAAGGTTCACCATCACTGGCCTAGGATATTTCACCACCACATTAGGAGTCAATCTTCAGAATTTGACCCTAACGATGGACCATTTTCAACATATTCACTCTTTTGCTAATTCACACAGGACTAAAGCGAAAGTGTGGGCGCACAGAGGCCACCCCAAAACTGTGGGGTTTTATCTCCTGCTCTAGAGCTGTGGCCTAGAGGTAGAGTTCATTGTGAAGACCCCTATGCTTAATCCCTGGTATCACTACAGATAGACAGGTAGGGAACCAAGGAGAGCTACATTTTACATCTTGGGTCAGTCTTTAAAATCAAAAGCTTTAGCTGATTTCACTTTGGACAACTTCAAATCATATTTTTAAAATTAAGCTCCATGAGAAAAAAAACCCCTGTATTCTTGTGTATAATTTTATTTCTGGTGTTTTCCTTAAGGCTCCTGAGTTTCTACAGTCTAGCACTTTGAAAGTTCCATGAAAGGATTTGTTTTAGCAGTTCAAAAATACTCTGCACTTAAAAAAAAAAAAAGAAGGAAAAAACAGGCCTATTCCTTTCTCTGTGGGATACTCACCGTGTTCCTGGTGATGCTGGTGCTGGGGACACACGGTGAGTGGGACACCCTTGGTTCCTAACTGCAGGCAAGGTGGCTATAATCCTGCTCACCACTGTGGAGCAATGCCAGATTCCAGGTCTGTGCACAGAGGAAAGGCAGGGGGCAGCATCACACAGTCATGGAAAGAAGGCCTGCTCTCAGCGGGGCTGGAGCGCAGCCTGTTGGGGAAGACTGGCGATAACACCAGGATGAGAGGCAGACAGCTGTGCAGGTCCTGGAGTCCATGATTTTGTGCTCTCTATTAGGCAGAGATCACTGAGATTTTCCAGAGAATAATAAGCCCAGTTCCTATGTTTATAGCTGGGAATTCATCATAGCTAATCTTAGAAGCAGCCCATATGTCCATCAATAGATGAATGGATAAAGAAAAAGTGGTATTTATACACAATTGAATAGTACTCTGCCACAAAGGATACATTTGAGTCATTTGTAGGAAAATGGATGCAGTTTGAGACTACAGTGTTCAGTAAAATAATCTTAAATATTGCTCAGTTTGTTTTATGAGAAAGCCGAAGTACAAATAAAGGGCAAAATAAAAGATAGATAACAGGAAACAGGAAGATAGATCTTTTACAAAAAGGATCTTTTACAAGAGATGGAGGGAGAGGGGAAGAAAAGGAAGAGGATGAAAAAAAGATGTGTTGTATACATGCGTCAACTCCCCATGATGT